TATTTTAGGGCATTATTTTTATCGTAGGAGTATGCAATGAGGGTTGCAGAGTGGATTATATTTGGGGGTAGGGAGTGGGGTTTGGGGAGGTGCAGGGGGATTGTGTACCAATGAGGGAGTTTTTCTTTTGCTTTTCAAGGAGAGGAGCACACGGAGGGGGGTGCAGGGGGGAGGGGCTTGTGCGGGGAGAAGGGTGCAACAATGAATGAATGGAATTCCAAAATCTCTGTAGATTTTCATTGAAATGAAAAATAAACAAACTAAACTAATAAAAAAAAGAAATACATTTTCCCTTTTGTACTGAAATTAGAACCATGAGGAATGAGACTCTCTGTTCTAACAGTTATCCTGCCAGCATGTGGAAAAGACTATCCCAGACTAGAGCTACCACAACAGAAAGCAGAAACAGGAGAAATGGGCCCTGAGACATTGTCCAAGTCCCTAGAGTAAGCCAGACCTGAAGCAGGCACTACCCATGGAACTAAGCAAGCCAATATATTTCCATTTGTGCCACCAATTTGTGTCAGATCTTCAGTCCTCAACATCCGGAAGAGTCGTGGTACAACAGCTATTTATCACCTTTACTTCTTTCTCTTTGATTCACCCAAGTGGGATTTTCTACCTTTCCCTTGCTTTTTTGGCATGTGTTCTAGTTATGTGCCATCAAGTAGTAGACTATGACTGTTGTGATCCTATGAACAATACCTCTGAACCCTGCCTTATGCCGAGCCATTCTCACTGTCTCTGAAACACCTGCTGCCCCCATTGCCACAATCACTGTGTCAATCCGTCTCACCCAGGGTCTTCCTCTCCTGTGCTGACCCTCTAGCCTTCCAAGCATAATGTCCTTCTCCAAGGATTGATCGATCCCTCCTGGCAACATACCTAAATATGTGAGACAGAGCTTCAAAACCCTTGCCTTCAAGGAGCAACATGGTTTCACCCTCTCCAGGACAGACCTGTTTGTTCTCTTGGCAGCCCAGGATATGTTCAATACTCTTCTCAAGCGCCACAACTCAAATAGATTCTTCTTCTGTCATCCTTAGTCATTGTCCAGCTCTTAGATGCATAGCAAGCAATTGAGAAGACCATGGCCTGCATTAGGCACACTTTATTCTCTAGAATGATATCGTTGCTCTTTGGCAGTCTGGAGAAGTCCCTGACAGTAGACTTTCCCAAAGCAACTTGTCTTTTGATTTCCTGACTGCTGGTGCCAAGAGTGTTAATTGTGGATCCAAGCAAGCGGAAATTGTTGACGACCTCAATCTTTTCTCCATCTCTCAGGATGCTCCTATCATGAACTTTTTCCTCCCAGAACCACAGGACTGGTGCTGTGTAAGCGCCCCTGCTCCATCACCCCCTAGCCTATTCTGTAGCCTACTGCATCCTGGTACAGACCATCTAGGCAGCCCATTGTAATAAATGTGTAACTAATTGGCAGCCCATTGTAATAAATGTGTAACTAATTGGGTTAGTGTTTCTTGGCATAGTCCACCCTAAAGTGTGAAAGTGTTTTACAAGGCTCCAGTCCAACCAACCTGAAACCCAGGCTAGCAGGAGATGTGTGTGTTAGATTCTTCACTGGCCACAGAAGAGCCAGTGGCCTCACTGTGAGTCTTTCCTTGAACCACAGACCCACAAAGATCCTTTATTGGACTCTCATGGTAGGACAAAGGATTAAAGCATTTGGCTGCTATCCAAAGGTTTGGGGGTTTAAGAACACACAAAAATACTTTAAAGGTCTGAAGATTGATATAAAAAAATTTTTTTAAAAATCAGTCATTAACAGTACAGCCCACAGTTCTCCTCGGACACGTGTGGAATATCCATGACTGAGAAGGGATTTGATGACAACTGGCTTTTGTTCTGTTTCTTTTGTTTGCTTTTAATCCTTTAGCCTGACCACAAAGAGGAGTGAAAAATCTCGTCTCACACCCTAACCAACCAGTTTCATTCATGTAAGACAGAGTGGGGTGATGGGAAGGACAATAGATGGAGGCCTTGAGCACTGGTTGTGTCCTGTACCCCTGGATCAGCACCATAGTCCCTTTTCTGTCCCTGAACTGATCTTTTGGCAGCTGGTCTTTTCTGACGATGTCCAGGCAGAGTGACAATGACCCTCCTCGTCCCTGAATGTAGGACTGGTGCTGGATAAGCTCCCTTCCTGTCCCCACTCCCATCGTGAATTCTCTATGCTAACGTGTCCAGGTAGAGCTGATAGACTGAGGCAGTCCAGTATAATCAAAGGGAGTTGGTTGGGTTTAAGCACCACTTCCCACTCATATATCAGCCTGACCTTAATGTCTTCACCTCCAAGCACTCGACTTAACTAAGGGCCATTGAGTCGGAACTGGCTGCTAGCTGACCCTCCAGCAGGATTCTAGAGGCTGTAAATCTCATGAAAGAGACTGTACATCTTCCCTCCAAGGAGTGGCTGGTGGATTTGAACCACTTGCCTTTGGGTTGGCCGTACAACTTCCACTCTCTAGTCCACAAGTACTGCCTTCATTTCTAAGTGGGGAGCAATATTGCCAGTTGTTGATTGTCGTGGAGTTGAGCACAACTCATAGTGCCCCTATGAACTAAAGACCTGAAGTGTTTCGATAACTATCATTTCTCAAAGTTCATAGAGTTTCCAGAGGCATGTTGTTTAGGAAGTGGGTGACACTCCTGCTTCCAACAATAATGTCTACTCAACATAGTAATGCCACCAGAACATCTAGCACAAGGTCAAGCTCAAAGGAAACGCTCCACCAGTAAGTGTTAAGTTTGTTCTCATCTTTCTAAGGGCACAAAGGGAAGTACTTGAGGTAGAGGGGACAGAGTCACTGCAGTGGCTGGAACTTGGGGGTAGGGATGGGTGACACCCTACAATGCAGTCAGATGGAGATTCCCAGCCTTGAGGGTACCATAGAGGCCAGGGCATATATTCCCAGCCCTCATTTTGAGACTTCAGGCTGGAGAGTCAGTCCATTGAAGTCAACCCTAGATCCCCAAGGAGGCTGTGCAGGTCAGTGGCCACCCTAGCCTGGCCTCTGCTCATCTGCTGGCTGACCTTAAGCAAATTGCTTCTTGCCTCCAATGTCTAGCGAATCGGCCATGTCTCTGGCTCTGGCTTCACCACGGATGTACAAGGTTGAGCAAAACATCACACTATAGGGACCAGGACCTTGCCTTGGGCTTTCAGCTTTATCACTGGGCATCACACTGTTCACCCAATGTCCAGGTCAGGTAGCCTCTCTCTTCCTCCCTTGCAGCCTCAGTGGCTCTCTCCAAGCCACAGTGCTTCCCTACCCCTATCCTCCTCCAACGCCCACCCTGACACCCATCCTCTCTGCTTTGTTCAGTTCCTGGGTTTTGTTTGTTTGTTTCTTTTTGTGTTTACTGTTAAATCTGATCTGACTGGTACAGGAGGAGATTGTCCCTCCTTCTCCAGCAGAGCATCTGGTGAATTTGAACCACGTACCTCTGGTATTGCAGTCCAGCTTCTTGCTGCTAGGCCACCGGAGCTCCCTAGTCCCTGAGTTTTAATGTAAATGTCTCTTCACCAGAAACGTCTTTTAGACCCTCCCAGACCAGGCTAGCCCTGCTCATTCTGTCTACCCACAATGCTTTTGCACATCATCCTGGTGACCTCAGGTCAGGTGTCCTGGCTTCTTCTAGGTCCCAGTCCCACTCCAGCCTGCAAGCTACAAGAGAGTAGCATCCTGTCTGTCTCATCCTCATGACAGTCCCAGCATCCTGGCCTACAAGTACCATTGCAATCATGTTTGTTTTTTGGTTTTTTTTTTAGGTCAGGCAGATAGAAATCATTTCCTTTTCTAATTCAAGAACGACTCGCCCAGCTGTGTGCCAGCTCCTCTTGCGTTTATTGGAACCTGCTTACCCAGCATCCCTCAAAGGAGCTTAGGCTGGGCGGCATCTTGGACTCTGATGACCTGATCCGGGATTACCTTGGAGGCACGGACCGGTGGGGCAGGGGCGGGGCGGGGGTGAGCCGTGACGCAGGGAACACACGGGAGACAGAGGACGGGCGGGGGTGGGGGGGAAGGGGAACCAGTGGACAGACGACTGAAGCTGTTTGGCAGAGAGCTATGCTGTGGGTTGGGAGGCCTCTCTACCTCTGGAGAGGGTGTGGGTGTTTGTGTGAATGCGTGCATGTGGCTTTGTGTGTCGGGGTGTGTGTGCCTGTTCGTGCATGTGTGTGCGTGTGGACGTGGCTCAGGTCGTATGCGTGTATTTCTGCGCGCGTCTGCATGGGTGTGTGCGTGGTGGGGGAGGGAGGCGAGCTGGACGGTTGGCATCAGTGCTTCTTTTCCTTTAATTTTTCCTTCACTTTTTGAGGCTCAAATTGAATCAGTCGCAGAATTTCCTTATTGGCCAGGGTCCCCTCAATGAACTCTTCTTCTGACAGTTTATCTGTGGAGGAAGGCAGGGGGGAAAAGCAGTCAGATTGTTTCAGAGCAGTCAGGCTGCTGTCTTAGCCAGGGGCCCTAGGAGGCTGATAGTAACTAACGTCCTGGATACTCCTGCCTGTGAGCATACCCTACCCTGCCCTGGACACCCTTCTTTTCTCCCTGACACTTAGGTCTTCCGAGGAACCAGGAAGAAGCATTAAATCCTGGCATCCTCAGGACGCCTCTCTGGTGCTCTGTCCCCTCTGCTGAGTGGGTGTCCCTGCCTTGCTCTTTAGTCTATGGGGGTGCTATTCAAATATCATCCCAGGTCGTAAGCCTTAGGTGCTGGGAGACTGAGCACAGCAAAGCACGGTCAGGTCCAGAGTGCCAGCAAGCAGAGGAGATGGGGTCCCTGCCAGGAGAAGGCAGGTCTCACAGGGCATGGGAAGAGTCTGCTGTGGTGACACGTTGCAGCTCTATGCCTCCAGGCTGACAAGTTCCTTCTCATGCCCTGAAGAGGCCCTGATCATCTTCTCTTTGGGGTCGGGACCACCAAAGTGCCTTGCCCAGCAATGTTCCCATAGGTGTTGTGAGCTGCTGTGGCTCGTGGTGACAGTACGAAGCAGGATTGTAACCCCTGGGACCCATGACGTTTTCACAGGCTGATTTCCACAAGCAGATCACCAGGCCTTTCTTCCTAATCCACTTTAGTCTCGAAGCTCCACTGAAATACGCTCAGCATTAGACAACATGCAAACTTCCACTGACAGACAGGTGGTGGTGTTCTTGAGACATCCTGGCTGAGCATCAAACAGGGGTTCCCCCCCCCCTGTGGAAGGCAGGCACTCTCCCACTGACCCACCAGTGCATCTCTTAGCAGGTAGGTTCATTTTAGTCCAAGGAAATGCAAGTTCCTGAGGTCCACCTCTGTGCTCGGCACCTGTGTACTTGGGGCTAAGGAGTCAAAAGCCCTCTCCCCCAGGAAACCATTTGTCTCCTGGGGAAATTGGCCCCACATAGGAATAATCCCAGAAGGAGACACCACAATTTTTTTGGCATAGCAGTAGTCTCACAGAACCTAGCACAAAGTAGATGCACAGCAAAGCTTTGCTGAACTGATTGGATGTCCAGTGGTTCACATTTTGGGCCCTTTGCTCACTCCTAATCCTTCCTCTAGAGAGCTCTGGCAGCTTAGTTGGAAGGAATTGCATTGGTTCAAGTCATGTGGTTCAAGTCCACCAGCTTAGCTCATTCTGACTAGACAGCACATAACAACAGTCTTCCCTCTACTCTCTGGCAGAGTCTGCCCCAGGGCAGCAGCAAAACCAGATCCTGCTGACCCTGCTCCCCAAAGACCCCATCGGACGTCCCTGAAATGCGTGGTGGGATGAATACCCCCCTTCCCCAAACCACTTTTGAGCCCCCAGCTGCCAAGTCAAAGGTGATAAAGAAAAAGCAGTTCACCATCATCTTTCTTCCCGAAGAACTTCCAAATCTTCTCTGCTCGCTTTTCGGGCGTGTTCTCGTCTTCTGGCAGGTGCTTCACGTCCTCAGGGTTGATCATCTTGAAGATAGCCTGCACGGAATGGAGAGGAAGAACTCATCAGCAGGGCAGGAGGGGCTGGCCACCCTGCGAATGCCCATGGGAGGGCGGTGAGTCACCCTTATAATGGCCCTCAGTACCTACACCACCTTGGAGGGGGCAGAGGACACATGTCATTTAAAGCAGTGATGACAATGTGCATCCAGGCCCCACTTGCCCTGCTCCGGGGGCCGGGCTTGACCAACTGTATTTTCACAGCATCCACAGAAAGGACGGGCAACATGGAGAAATGACTTTCCTTCCTTATTCTATACCACTGGGTACTGCCGGAAATATCTCACCCTGCAGACATACATTTTGTGGAAAACAAAAATAAGAAATTAAATGCACTCGCATGTGACCTGTAACACCAGAGAGCACTCGCTCCTCAGAATAACCAACTCTAGAAGGTCAAAGAGCAGCGCTTGACCAAGGATGAAGCTCAGAAGGCAGGAAGGGTGGGAGAGGAAGATTCAGGGAAATGAGAATCACAGGGCAGATGGATGCACTAACAGTGCGGATATTATAATTAGTGTTCTAAAACAAAAAGTGTCTCCATGATTGAATAAAGAACCTATCTGCTTTGTGAACAAACTTTTACTCAAATCACAGCACACTTTTTAAAAAAAAGGAAATATGTGCATCAAAGTCCAAAGGAGGAAGGGGAGAGAGCTGGGGTGGGGTGGGTGGGTGGAGCCTGTCAGGGGGGAGGGAGGGAAATCACAGGGTCACAGAGTTTGGCCCGCAGAGGGAGGAGGGGAAGGAATGAGGAAAGATCCAGTGGAGACCTGAAAAGATGGGAAAATGGGGGGCAGAGATCATGGTGATTAATTTAATAAAACAAAATGTATTGTGTGACACACCATGTGAAAGCATGTGTGAAACACATGTGTATATGAATGGAACACAATTGATATGAATTTTATATGTAAACCAATATAAAATAAAAACAGATTTATAAAATACAAAGGAGTAAAAATCCCATGGCACCAAGGAGGTTTAAGTTTGAGGGCTCTGTGGGATATTACTTGTAGAGCTTTTACAATATCTGGTAGCTTGAGGAAGGCACAGGATAGGGAAGGTTCAGGTCAGCTCTTCGCAGGGTCTCTTTGAGTCATACTCAACTCGATGGCACCTGACAACAACAGCAACACCAACAACTTCCATTGTCTAGTGGGGCTGGCTAATACTTCCAATGTTACTATTTGTTGAGCACGTACTATGTGCCATTTGTTTTAGCATTTTTACATTTAACCCACATGACACCATTATGATTGGGGTGTTGCTCTCAATTTACAGATGAAAAAACTTAGATGGCTGACTTGTCTGAGTCACCCTGCATCTTCGAGAACCTTCGATCCCTAGAAAACCTGCACCCTTACATTGTATCATAGTCCTCTCACCCCATTTTCCTTGAATGCCTCGGAGAGCACTCCAGTCAAAGCTGCAGAAAGGAGAGGGGGAAGTGCCATGAGAATTTTCCCATGGTTTTCCAGGGCACAGGAAGCCCCTCATTGCAGGGAAGGAGGGAGGGAAAGGTGTGCCTTAACACTCAAGGGTCCTCCTAACCTCCCTGCACTGTCACTCTCATTCTTTTAATAAAGGAGGTAGGGGGCCTGGAAGAAGCACCCCCTGAACTTTGTGATCACGTGAACGGGACAAAGTGGGCTCAAAGCTGCCTTCCAGCTGTAGGTTTGTAGAAGTACCGGGGATGGGCAAGTCTAAATCACAAGGCAGTAGGAGATGCTGACCCTCTCCTGCCTGTGTCCTTCACAACAGGGCAGCTTTGAGGTGTAGGCAGGTGTGAAGGGAGGGAGTGTAGAGGGCTCTGCTGTACTTGGAGCCTTCTTCCTCCCCTGGGCGCACAATACGGAATAGAGTTTTGTCTGGAAGGGAAGATGAAAGGGGTTGAGACATTTCCTGTTGGCCCCCTGGACGGTAAAACATGAGGAACCCGGAAAAGCAGCAGTCTCAGCTGGTAGCCCTCAGAGCTCAACCTCTAAGATGTAGTGCAGGTGATTCCCACAGCCACCTGTCCCCAGCGATGGGAGCCACGTGCGTGTGTGGGGGCCAAACACTGGACAGGGACCTGCTACTGGTCTCACTTGAAGCAGAGCCTTCCATGGCTTTGGAAAGGGCCCCAGACATCACTGAGTATGGTTTTCCCAAAGCCACATAGCTAGCTCATGGCAGAGCTGGAACTAGAACTCATAACCTCAACTCTCACGCTGTGCTTTGTTCGTAGGCCCCTGTGATCTGGTGACTATTGGAGTCCCAGCACCATGTGCTCACAATCCTGACTTCCGACTCCGGCCCCCCACCCCCCACTTCTTCCTCTCTCCCTTCCCCTTCCCCTTCCGACCTCTCCTCCTTCCTCTGCTGGAAATAGCATCTGTAGGTGGCTCAAAGGATTTGGCTGGAGACATTGCCTTCAAAGGAAGCCAGGTGATCTACTCCCCAAAAGTCTGCTGTCAAAGGGGCTCTGGTGACACAGCCCATAGCATTCTGTGTTCCCAACAACAACAACAACAACAAACCCAAACAAATCAGCCCTTGACTCTCCCTGGTGCACAGCTCCAACCCGACACTCCCAGGGCTCTTGTGAGTTGGCATCAAGGCAGCTGGGTTTCCTGGAGTACTTGGCCACTGTCCCAGGCCACCCGCAGGGATTCACAGACAGTCCAGGGGAGCCTGCTCTCCTGGCCGCATCCAGATGACAAAGAGGTTCTCGTGGGCTGGCCCTTAACGGGAGGCCCAGGCAAAGTGTCAGCTTGAATCCACTCACCAGGGCTTCATCCTCGGCCACTTTATGTGGGTTTTCCCCTAATAAAGTCAGAAGAACGGTGCAAAGGAAACCCTGATTACAAATGCACAAAAAAATGATCTAAAATATGAAGAACATCTTCTCTCCTAACAAGAATGAAATCAGAGGGGGAAAACCAACCATACTCAAGTGGTAATGAGGAGAGTAGGGGGTAGAATGAACAAATGAAAATAAGAAAAATAAGACTTGCATAATGGAACAAAATGAGAACTCCTAATTGTCTAAAATTCTGAGCATGGTTGAATTATTTTTAATACTTCCCTAAGATAGAATACTAAGCTATTTGAGATGTTTCGGAGAATAGTTAATGATCCAGAAAACACTCATGATTAAACAGGAAAGGTATGATAAGCATCACATTGTTGTTGTTTATGTTGTTGTTATGTGCCGTCGAGTGCTTGCAATTCATAGCGACCCTTCGTACAACAGCTCTGAACTCTGCCCTGTCCTAAGCCAGTTTCACTGTCTCCAACACACCTAGTGCCATTACCCCAGTTACTGTGTGAACCCATCTTATGCAGGGTCTGAGCTGTCGGTCCCTTCACCCTTCCAAGAATGATGTCTTTCTCCAAGGACTGGTCCCTCCTGGCAATATGCCCAAAGTATGTGAGATGAAGCTTCAAAATCCTTGCCTCCAAAGAGAAGCTTTGCTTCATTGTCTCCAGGACAAACATGTTAGTTCTCTTGGTATTTCCATGGAATGTTCAATACTCTTCTCTAGCACCTCAAACAAACATGAAAGTCTGAGATTGCTTTAAAAGACATAGAGAAAAAGCTGGAGCTGCATATGAAAACTGGCCTGTTGTTAGCAAGTTGAGTCGGCCTCCCGGGAGCCTCAGGTGCGGCACAGGAGAGCTGTCTCCGTGGGGTTCTTAGTGGTTGACTTTTTAGCAGTAGGTTGCCAGGACTTTCTTCTGATGTGCCTTTAGGTGGACTTGAACCACCATCCTTTTGGTTACTGTAAAAGAGTGTTTGCTATTTGCACTGCTGAGAGACTCTGGAAAGGCATGTACTAACCTCTTAATAATAGTTTTCTCTGGGGGACAGAATGAATGCTGTTAGGTGCCATTAAGTTGAGTATGACCCATAGCGATCGTATGAACAACAGATCTGAACCCTGTCCTCTCCTGTGCCAACCTCACAATCTGGTACACTTAGATCATTGCTGATAGAATTAAAGGCAAGTTTTATCAGCATATGCATCTAAATATTCTGGATTGTTTTTCTAATAAATAAGAATTATTTTAAAGACACCAAGGACATGAATAACTGCAGTAAGGGGGTGGAGAACGGTGGACATGGTGAGGATGGTGCAAGACTGGACAAAGTTTTGATCTGTTGCTCAAGCTGTTGTGTGCTGTAGAGTCAGAACCGAGTCATAGCTGACCCTCCAGCAGGTTTTCAGAGCCAGTTAATTGCATGGAAAGAGACTGCCCATCCTTCTGCCGAGCAGCTGATGGCCTCAAACTGCGCACCTTCAGGACTGCAGCTCAGCTTCTTGCCACGAGGCCACCAGAGCTCCCTCTGTTGCTCATAGAGTTGTTTTAAGTCCTAGGTGACTCGACAGCACATAACCCCACAACTCAGTGTATTACTCATAGCTGCCCCTCCAGTAAAGCTGGGTCACGTGGGAGGAGACTGCCCCTATTTCTCCCTCGGAGCAGAATTCAGGAGGTCAGAGCAATACCCGCTTTGGGTTAGGGCTACACCCCACCAGAGCTCCCTAACAACCACACAAACGCATTAATGACAAATGAGGACAGCACGGACAGACAGGAAACCAGTGCTGGAATGTATCTGAAGGTAGGAAGCACCAACATGCAAGACGGTTCTAGTAGGATATGGTGGTTAAATTGTTCTAGGAGACAGGAAGGAAGCCGAGGCTTTCAGGGCCAAGCACCTCGCTCAGTGTTATGAAGAAAAGGAGATCTAGGACCAAGATTTTTGTCCCTAAACTTTGGTCTCTTCCTATGTATGTGTAGGGGAAACATGTTATTAGGTTAAAATGCAAATGTGATAGACATCCAATGTGTGCAGCTTACATACTTGGGCTTTGAGTCGTGGAGTGGAAAAGGTGGAACTTTTATTGTTTACATGTATATAGGTAATAGAAGTGTGAGCTTCCCAAATCTGTCTCCCAATTGACATATTTGAAAGAGCTTTTACTGAAGGAAGAAGTACAGTTGGGCAGGTAGGAAGGGAGTGAGAGGGAGGTAGGAGGGGGCAGAGGGAGAAATGAAGAGGGAAAGGAGCGAGGGGGGAAGAAGAGATATAGGAAGGAAAAAAGAGGAGGGGTTTAAGACTGTGAACGTGGGGTAACACCTGAGCCCTTCTTAAGGAAGTAAACAAAGCTGTGGGAATGTGCCTCCCTTTCCTTGTTGTGTGCTCCAGATCCTATAAGCAGCAGGCCTGCACCCCCATTCTCCCCTCCAGGCCTGGCCCAGCCTCTCCCGGGGCCTACCCCCTTCTATAGCTGTAGCAGTAGCAAAGGTATGACCCCGCTCCCTGACCAGCCAGCCAGGAAGGGCTGAGGGCGCACTGACCATAATGATCTCCAGCACTTCGTTTTTGCTGATGGAGCCATTGCCATCCACGTCGTAGAGCGAGAAGGCCCACTCCAGCTTCTGGGTGGTCTTGCCCACGGAGGTCATGTGCAGGGCGATGACGTACTCCTTGAAGTCCAGGGTGCCATCGCTGTTGGCATCGAAGCTGCGGAAGACGTGCTGCGCATAAGCCTTGGGGTCGGCGTCGGGGAAGAACTTGGAGTAGATGCTCTCAAACTCCTGCCTGGTGATGCGGCCGGTGGGACACTCCTTCAGGAAGGACTGGTACCAGGTGCACAGCTCCTCCTCCGTGAACTTGGTGTTCAGCTGCAGCTCCTCCAGGATCTCCTTGGACAGGGCCCCGCTCTTACTGTTCCCCATTGGTGAGGCCTAGTGGGCACCAGCCAGGTGGTCGCTGCAGGGTGGGACCTGGTCTCCTGGGCTCGGGCTCGGTAGACAAAGGGATGTGGCTACAGAGCTGAGAGACAGAAGACAAAGGAGCAGGGATTAGGAGGATTTGTGGCCAGTTCTGTCTGGTACTTAGAGGAAGGAGGGGCCCTGCTCCCAGAACCTTCTTAAGATTAAAACAAAGGGCTGAGAGCAGATGAACAGCTGGCTTTGGTACCTTGGGAGAATGTCAGGATGCCAGGACAGCAAGTCAGAGCCTTCAGGATGAACTGTTCAAGCTTCAGGTGTGAAGAATAGAGCAGCTCCGAAGGATTTAGCCACTAACCTTTCAGTTCATAGGCAAATGTCTGTCTGGGCCAACCGAGAACTAGGACTTTGTGCCAAAGCCTTTTCTTACTACCCTCATCCATCTCTCTAGCACCCCCAATATAAGCGGGGCCTCCTAAGAGCAATGCTGTTTGCTGTTCTTCTGCACTGCAGGGAAGCTGCCTGGAGTCCCATAATTGGCACAGAATTGCCTAGCAAACTGTCTCATGAAGGTCCAGCCAACCCGAGATCAGTCACAGCTTTGCCATTTATCAGCTGAGCGACCCCAAGTACCTTTTTCTCCATGTAAAATTCGGAGATGTCCATTTCATCAATCTCGTGCAACCATCAACAATACAAGCACATTTCTTAATCTCTCTCTGCTTAGGATGTTCTTCTAACCCTTTGCCTGCTTCATGAGTTGTTGTTGGGGGCTGTTGACTCATAGGAAACAGAATGAGATGCTGTCCAGTCCTGTAACGTCCTCCCAACCCTCGTCATGTTTGAGCTGATTGTCGTGGCCACTGTGTCAGCCCATCGTGTTGAGGATCTTCCTCTTTTTCATGTATTCTCCACTTTACCAACCTCAACGTCTTTCTCCAGACACCGGTACCTCCTGAACACATATGTAGAGCCTGTGAGATGAGGATTTTTCATCCTCGTTTGTAATGGGCATCTGGTTGAACTCTTTCATGTTCATGGTATATTTATTATTCATAAATTCTTTTTTTGCTGAGAAAAAGTTGATTTAGAATTATTGTTGTTGTTGTTGTTAAGTGCCGTTGAGTCATAGGCGATTCATAGCGACCCTATGAACAAAAGACCTGACTTTCATTCTTTCTCCAGGTTCATAGGTTTTCTGGAGGCAAGCTATTGTGGAAGTTCATGCCACTCCTGCTTCCAAGCTTGTTTTAATAGGGGAGCTCCACCCAACACTGTCCACCATGGATGGCCATTATCACATTTGACACATCAGTGTCAAACCCATTTAGAATTAGCCAGCTAAATTAATCATTAATCAATCAAACAAACATTGAGATGATCCCAATTTTGTTGGCAACATCCAAAGCATCATAGTCAGGAGCAAGTTGAACGTAGGCCTCCTTTTCTCCATCAGGCCTAATCAAGGTGTTGACATTGGCCACATCAATGTCATAGAGCTTCTTTACAGATTATTTGATTTGGTGCTTATTGGTCTTAACATCCACTATGAACACAAGTGTATTGTTATCTTCTATCTTCTTCATGGCTGACTCTGGTCAGGGGAAACTTGATGATGGCATAGTGGTCAAGCTTGTTTCTCCTGGGGGCGCTCTTCCGGGTGTATTTGGGCTGCCTTCGGAGTCTCAGCATCTTAGGCTGCTGGAGGGTGGCTGACATGTGGATCGTCTTTTTTTTTGTGGCTGTGGATACCCTTCCGGACCACTTTCTTGGTCTTTTATGCCCTTGCTTTGACTTCATTTTTGGGAGGGACAGGGGCTTCTTTCTTCGCGTTCAGCACCATCTTCGCGGAAAGACTATTATTCATTAATCCTTCAGTCTTCGTTCCTCACCGTCCAGCTTTCCCTTACATATAATACCATGGTGTGGACCAAAAATTGGTCTACTGCTCCAAGTGACATCGTTGCTTCTCAAAACATTTTACTGAGGCCTTTTGTCACAGATTTGCTCACAATGCAATATGGCCTTTGAGTTCTTGCCTGCTGTTCCTGTTGGTGCTAAGTGTGGATCTAAGCAAAATGAAACCCTTGACAACCTCAATATTTTCTTCACATCATAATAATGTCTACTGGTCCAGTTGTGAGGAATTTTGTTTTCTTTATGTTTGGGTATAACCACGCTAAAGGCATATGATGTCTTTGATCTTCAGTAAGGGCTTCAAGTCCTCTGCTTTCAGCAAGCATGGGGGCATCATTTGCAGTATTCCTCTGAACTTGACTTTGCATTCCTCTTTGTAAACTGCAGCCTCTCAGATTATTTGCTCAGCAAATAGAGTAAGTCTGATGAAAGGACACAAACAGGACACACACGTTTCCTGATTTTAAAATTTTTTTTTTAATCATTCACAACCTTTCCTGATTTTAAGCCGTATGGTATCCTCTTGCTCTATGGACCGGTTCTACATGAGCACAGTTAAGTGTCCTAGAACTCCTATTCTTCTAAATGTTATCCACAATATGTTATGATCCACACAGTGAAATATCTTTTCATAGTCAACAAAACGCGGGCAAAGATCTTCCTGGTTTTCATCTGTGTTTTGTTGCTTTCAGATTTCCCAAATTAAAGATCTTCTGCTTTCAGCTCATATCAATGCCATCAGAAATGATAAGCATTGTTCTACATCCTTTTGAATATGGCTAGATTTTTTAGCTCTTCATATTGTCTATGTACTGCTGCAACCATTTTTAAATTATCTTCAACAAAATTTGCTTGCATGTGATAGTCGTAACATTCTTCAGTAATTTCTGTTTTCTGAGAGACCACCTTTCTTTGGAATGGGCACAAATATGGATCTCTTCTAGTTGGTTGACCAGTCAACTGTCTTCCAAATGTCATGTCTTGGCATAGAAGAGTCAGTGCTTCCAGCATTGCATCTGTTTGTTGACACATCTCAACTGTTTTTGTTTCAATGTTTCCTTCACAGCAAAGCCTCTACTGTCTGCTCTATTTGCACTACAACAGCACATACCCTACAGGAAACAGTCAGCAGGCCCCAAACATCTTCCGTTTTTCTCTACTGCACTTAGATTTTTTGACATACTCTGTTTTTGTCATGAAGGCAGGGATTTTATTTGCTTTGTTTCTCAATCAGTTAGTACAATTGGCTACTAAAGGAAAGGCTGGAGTTTCAAGTCCTCCTAGAGGTGCCTTGGAAGGAAAGTTTGGAAACCTATTTCTAAAAACCAGCCACTGATACCCCTTTGGAGCACAGTGCGTTTCTGACCCATGCCTACCACACGTTGGAGTTTACTTCAACCAATGATGCAGCCAACCAACAGGCAACAGTGCTTTTGCTGCATCTCCGTTACAGGAACAGTTCTTCACAGGTTCGAATCCACAAGGATCTATTACTTAAATAAGTATTTCTTGAATACTTGCTTATTTCCACTTGTTACATATTGTTATTGCAAACTTGAAATGAGTGCTCAACTCATAGCTGACCCTCAAGTGTGTAAATCACCCAGGAGAAGCTCACCCATTCTTCTTCCTCAGAGTCAGGGGTGGATTCGAACTGCCATAGAAGTGTGTATTTTGAGTTGGCAGTACAACTCTCTACAAATTATGCCTCCCAGAGCTACCTTTAAAATGAGTTAGTATGTATAAAACCATCAGGATAAAGCCTGGCACAAACCAAGTCCTAAATACACGCTCCATTTAAAAAAAATGTCCTTATGTTGTTGTTGTGTACTGTTGAATTGGAACAGACTCACAGCTGACCCTCCAGAGACAGTTAATCGCACGGGAGGAGATTAACCATGCTTCATCCGCAGAGCAGCTGGTGGGATTCAAACCGCCTTTGAGATTGCAGTGCAGGTTCTTGCCACTAGGGCACCAGAGCTCCCTTATTGAATCCCGGGACCAGCAGATGGAGAGCCTGAAGCAGGCAGGCTGATGGAGGAGGCACAGGGACTGGTGATGAGGGGGTCACACGTGGGAGGGCTTGCTATCCTTCAACTCCACTTGAATTTGGCCCGGCGTTAGAAGGCAGACAACGTATTTTTATATGCAAGACTCTTATTAAACTTTGGCAATTAATTACAATTTTCCAGCGATTGATACAAGCCAAAGAAATAGTTCTTTGACTCAGTGTCAGCCTGCAGGATGTCCACCTACAGCTCAGCCTGGGGCCTGGTGCGAGCAGAGAGTGGCTGTGTGAGTGAGGGATAAATGAATATGTAGAAGGAGACAAGGGCCTTTTGAGGGAAGGCACCAGGTCTCAGTGAGTCTGGGACCCAAGGAAGAGCACAGTGTGTATGTTTTGTGTCTGAACTGTTAGCACCCAAAGGATGAAAGTGGCCTTGACTCAGCTGCCTAATGCTGACTGATGTAGGTGATGCACCTGACACCTCTAAATGCCACTATAAATAGGGAGATGCTCCCCCTTTGCCCAGTGTTGGCAACTACGAAGAATAAACCCCATAACCTCTAGACAAGTAAGCTGGTAACCTATTTCAGATACTATGAGAGTTGTTATTGTTGTTAAGTGCCATCGAGTCAAGTACAACTCATAGTGACCCTGTGAACAACAGCCAACCTGAACCCTCCCCTATCCTGTGTCTTCCTCATCATCTCTGAGACACTAGAGCCCATTGCTGAAGTCACAGTGTCGGTCCATCTTATTGGGGATCCTCCTCTGCTGACCCTCCACCTTTTCAAGCATGGTGTCCTTTTCCAAGGAATAACCTTGCCTACTAGCTGGACAATGACCAAAGAGGATAGAAGGAGAATTGATGCCTTTGAGCTGTGGTGCTGGAGAAGAGTATTGAGAATAGCATGGACTGCTAGGAAAACAAACAAATTCATCCTGGAAAGGGTTAAACCGGGTGGCTCCTTGGAGGCAAGGATTCTGAGGCTCCGTCTAACATACTTTGGACATGTTGTAAGGAGGGACCGGTCCTTGGAGAGGGACGTCATGCTTGGGAGGGTGGGGGGACAGCGCAGGAGGGGAAGACCCTCTGGGAGGTGGATTGATTCAGTGACTGGGATAATCGGGATGGGTGTGTCAGAGACAGTGCGAT